CTAATGGGAAGTCTACTCAGTTTATGGTTTGGTATATCCGCGATATTGTTAACAAATACAATGGAGAAGTTGTTTAATAAATACGACATTTTGAATCTTTGTAAACAAACTAATAATACGATTGTAAACTATTTTTCTCTATACTCTGATCGTAAGACAAAATTATTTAAAAAACCAAATAATAGACGTCATATTTTGTTTAATCTATCAAGTGGCAATTCACATCAATTCAAATAATTATTTTCATTATAAATACATAAATTATCAGTACTAATACTAGTACTAGTACTAATAGCAAAAATTTGTTACTGTATACTACCGTACTATGCAATGCATTGCAAATATTATCTGGATATAAATTAAACTGCATGAAATTACTTACTGTATTATATATTATATCATTACTTGTTGAGTAACAATAAAATATAAACTTATATAATAATATTACATTATAATTACTATTCATAATGTGTTTACTAACTTAATTAAGTTGATGCAAACTACTCAAAGGGCATAAACCAATTAAAACATTTTATTTTTAATCTTAAGACTAATCCGGTTAGACTAATGCTGTGGTCCTACTGCAACCCATGGGTGGGCCAACACCTGTCTAATGGTAAACCTTTGAGAGATTTGTCTGACAGTGCAAAGAGCTATGAGTTGACAGCAAGCGTCGGTAACTCTGGTAAACAGCGGCTTCTCGGCGGCCGTTAACTGATAGATAGGTATGGGATGAACGGTTGGGGGTCGGGGTATACGAGGGAATCGGTGGTATAGATACCTGATGAACCTGTGGGGTGTCGTGCCCTCACTGCCCACAAGATTCGTACACAAACTCATACCCAACCCGTAGATATCCAGGGGTTTTGAGGGCACGGCTTGTGTGCGGTTAGCCCTCTGTATCTCCCAGGCCGACCACCCGGTTGGGCGCACCCGTACGTTGAGCGCTAGGTTGTCTGCGCCAGTCTTTTGGAAACACACGGCTTCCTCAAAGTCTGTGAGCCTATAGATCCTGTTCCTGCCCTCCCCTATATTTCTGTACAATATATTGGCCGGACGTATAGCTAAATGACTGACCCATACCTCATCGTTGACGCGATTGTGCAGATAGTCGACCGCACAGGCCATCTGCCAAAACCACACCTTCGCATCCATTTCCCTAAACACCTGACCCCTAGCTTTGTCCTGAAGACTATCCAATGAGCCCTCCATATAGTCCATGACAGCGCAGTGGAAGCTATAGTTGAATTGATTCAAAGGGTCAGGGATTCCGAACACCCGGACCATTTTCATGATATTGTAGTGACTCAGGTATTTCATAATGCGGACCTCTTTCAACAACTGACCAATTGTTACCCTCAGATCCCGTTCCTCGCCGGGAAGCCGCCTGTTCTCGTAGTACTTAAGGCTAACGACTTTGCACACGTAGACCTTCGTCCTGTCCCGGGTGTCAAACACACGCCATATCTGATTGTCAAAAGGGTTCCGCTCGACCCATACGAGGGGTTCGGAATCCAGCTCTAGCTCTTGGACTTCTGACAGCCATCGCCGATGATTCCGATGATAGCCGGGTCGTCCAAACGCGTAGTTCGTGTCCTCGTAATGCGGGCCCACGCTGTCAAACGTGGGAAACTCTTGCGGGAACTGTAGGGGCTGGTCGGGTCGACCCGGCTCCGGGATGGTGTCGAAGTAGTAGTTCCCTTGGTTTGCCATCTCTATGGTCCGTGTTTGCGGTGTTTTGCAAAATGAATTGTTTTGCAATTGTTTTGTTTGAAACATTTGTTGAAAATGTTTTTTATTTTAAAATTTATATAATTTTTGAAATATGAAATATTTTGTGTACATAAGTGAGTTAAGGGGTTAAAACATATTAACCTGGTTTTAACAAAGTTGAAATACATCGTTGAATTAATTAAGGGTTTTATTCTTAATAATTTTTGGGAATTGAATTAAAACATTTATATTACTGTGAATAACCGCTGAAAACTTATTTAAAATTAGACAATTAAGCTAAAAATTAAAATCATATACACAAATAATCAATTATCCTATTAAATGAAATAGCGATTTATCTAGTTATAAGCCAACATCTAATTTTACATATTGTTTTGCATTCAAAATATCGTTTAACCATAATACATCCAAATGAACGCCAATATTATGATCAAGATCAATGCTAAAATAATTATGAGACGATTTTTACACCGCTGTTTACACTGCTTACACTGTCGGCACTGTTGTGCCCCATGTTGTATGTCTGCACTAATGCGCTCCATATCCGACAATTTGATGTCCTTTTCCAGCAATAACTCCGTGTTATGTCTCATAATACCTGTCACTTCGTCCACCTATAAGTTGTTGTTAGGTATTTTATTTAGTAAATTAAACTTGATAATAGTTTTGAATACAATATATAATTTATATAGTGATTTGTTTAATTAATTATTATAGTTAATAAATATTTAATAGACTTATTTATTTAATTAAAACATTTATTTTGCATATTATTATTTTTATTAACTTAATAGCTATTATTACTTTAATTAGTGAACTTATTCAGAAAATATACCTTGATCTGTGTTTCCATAATGCGCCTGTTTGTATGAATTGCCTGTTTGGGGACAGTTGTGTTTGAATCCATTGCCTAAATTATAGTGTTATCCGGTGTGAATTAATGTTCTAGTAATATAAAGTTTAGTATTATATGTGTCTTTTAAATGTCACTATATTTACAGCATATCAAGTATAATAATACAAAACTTATTTATCAAGAAAATTAAATTTATATTGACTTTATTTGTCATTTGGGCGTTTATGCAAATGTCGAAATTAATTATTTTTATTATATACCAAAGATAATTAGATACCAAATGAATTGAGTATAATTTATTGCACCGTAATCTAGCAATATAAACATGATCAATACGAGTTTAATGAGAAAATTGTATAACTTAAAACTTTGAACGATAAACCTCATAAACATGAAAATAGTTTAATTTTATTGAATATGCCTCATAAGAATATTTGTGTTTACATTTAGATGTTATAAAATAAAAACATTTATCTGAATTATCTAAATGAATTATGGCTTATTATCTAAGAAAGTGTATAGAATATAAATTGGGTGACAACCAGTTAGGCGACCCGTCCAGTCAACTGTCTCTTACCATTGCTACCTATAGTAATGTATGAATTTTTTGTTATAATTATTATTTTATAAACATATGAAACATTGTTTAACACAATAACTAATATTTATTTAAAAATTAAATTATTTAGCGGTTATGTTTTTTTGATGTGCGAGTTGTGGGGGCATTGGCGAGTGGGGTGTTTAGTAAGTTTAATATCACTTTAAGAACATACAATGAATTTTTTGATGTTCCCCGTTATATGGAAGATCATCAGGTAATTATTATTAGTTTAAAATACTAATGTTTCTCAAACTTAAAAATATTAATTGTAAAAATGTCATTGTTTTTTAGGACGTGGATGCGGTGTTGGCCAGGTGGCCTATAACTCATGTATTTGCAAAGTTTGCAGTAGGCCAGTGGTTTAAGGATGAATACAACATGGTCATTCTCAGTGCATTATATACAAAACAACCCAATATAGCAATCATGCTTAATGTCTATGCACTGAATGTTTGGCTACTCGTAGTATTGAGTATAGTTATTGTATCAATTGTCCACTATATTGAATGCAAGCTAAATGGTATGATAAATTATTATGATATAATACTTTATTAGTTAAAATTTATATTTAATTTAAAAATACATATCAGATGAGCACAAAAGTATTAGTGTTGTACTGTTTGAGACGACAGCACAACTCATAAATCAAGTTAAAAAAGAGCCCAAGAGATCATTTCTGATCGCAATCTGGGCTCTGGTGGCACTCCTCCTGTCAAATGTATTCAGTTCTGGTATATTGTCGGCTGTGATAGACAGGGAGGCCGTATGGGTTGACTCGATGGACCAGTTGCTTAAAACCAATTTAAAGGCACGTGTAGCTAATGTGTCATACATATGGTGGCAGTTTGAGAACTTCGACAATCCTAGAGACAAACTACCATTGGTTCCCAGTTTAGACACATTGAGACAAACCCATCGAATTGAATACGTGGAGCGGGAAAAAGAACCAACGGATCAAAAAGTTAGCGTTCAATGTGTGATTAAATTGTCACTGGTAACACTTCTATACTATGTGTCATTTTAGGATATTTTGCGAGATGTGTCCGAAAGAAAGTGCGTTTATATGAGTTATTTGGAGGCAATATTCGCCCGAAAGTATTTGAATCAAGAATTTAAATTAGAGATTTCCAGTGAAATGAATTTCCCGGCTCTCATAGCTTACGCCGTAAGAAAGAATCACACAAAAGCAAGGGAACGACTACTAAATGTGTAAGTTACATTACAGTATTAGTACAACTACATAAATATAATTTTTAAAACGAATTATAAATCTAAATATTAAGACTTGCATGTGTTTACAATATGTATACAATATGTATGCATTGATTTTCTATTGGTTAAAAGGATTGAAATAATGGTCGAGTCGGGTATTAGCGTGGAAATGGAGGACATGAATAAACTGGGTATTATAATGGATGGCAAGAAGCAATACGATGAATATAAAAACAGGACTCATATTAAAGATGAAGAGGAGTCCAATATAAAATTTGACTTGATAGTTGTGCTGCTAATTAAAACGTGCAGTTGCTATGCTTTTTGTTCCCTGGTACTCATTTTAGAGCTTATTGTATCGAAATATTATAATCCAGAAATTCATATTAAATATTTACATAGCCGTAAACAATCTAATGTAAGTCATACTAGACGTAAACATTCAATATTTATTTATAATTCAAGTAGTTCACTTGGTTAGATATATTGATTTAAATATTTAATGTACATTTAACGATTTTCGCTAAAAATAAATGTAAAACATTATCTTAAGTAATAATTATTTAACATAATATTATAAGTTTGCTATAATAATGTAAATTTTGTGTACAGTATATGTAATAATAGGCGAACATTTTGTTCACAGAATTATGTAATAATGTTTTTCTTGTTATCTAAAGTAATGATTGAAGTTTTATATCATTTATATTGAATGACATATTCTGCTCTTTTATGCATATATAAATTATACAGTTAGTTAATTAATTACAGTATGTAATTAGTTAATCGATAAATATATCAAGTTTAATAACAGGTTTAGTTAACATCATTCCAATGTCTATTATTTAGACCATAATTGTCAACAAAATAATTACATTGCACTGACACAACGTTTATAAAAAATATATGTTATTTGTAAGTCAATTATTAAACTTTTCATTGAGCAAAATATTTTAATCAATACTAGTATTATAATACAAATTTCAAGTAAATATTAAGACAATGAACAAAATAAATAATTTCATTTTGTTACAAGGTAAACTAAGCCATAATAAAAATAAAAATTTGTAACATTTCATAGACACATAATTAAATGTAAAAAGTATTAAATATTCAAATTAGTAAGTGAATCTTACTACAAAGTATTCTTGACTTATTCTAATCTTAGGAATATAAAGTGTATTGCATCAATGTGCATTATTTCACAATATCCTGGTCGGCAATTTTTATCTTGTTTACTTACTATCAATAGCAAATGTTTGAGATAAAAATTATAAGTCCTATTTCATGAATTCATTAAAATAATTCTATTAATCTTTATGTTTTTTACTCAGAAACTTGTAAACCCTTCAAATATTGATATATCCTTGTTAGATTAAGTCAGTATATAATTTATTAGTGGGATCTATAAGTAAGTATGCATTTCAAAAGTAAAGCCGCTTCATATCAATGAGAAAACTTGATATTACTTTATGTATATAAACAACTTTTAATGTAATTCTAATTTTACACCTACGGTATGAACTAAATTATATAGTATATACAATATACAAATGTTTTATTAATAAATATAAATTAAACATTTTTGAAAAGTCAACATAAATACATATTTAATACTAACAATGAAAATATTATCGATTGAATATATTGACCAACATTTGGCATA